TAGTTTGGTGAGCCACAACGTCTTGCTGTCAGTCAATGGCTACGCTCGCGTCAAAGACTGGAGTCTAAGGTCCAGGACGGGCGTGGCAACTTTGGCTGACTTGATCTGATTGGGCAGGAATACAGTCTACTACCCAATGGTGGAGTCTCCATCTCCGTGCTGAGAAAAGGCGTTCAGGTAAGACAACGCCCCTTCTCCAGCACCAGAGTTCAAAGGCCTCCATTCTTTGGCGCTCAGCCTTTCTTATGGTCCAACTTTCACAGCCATACATTGCAACTGGGAATAGTTGCAAGATTGTTACAGAAGCCAGGAAACAGCCGAATTTAAAGCCAAAGGCTGGAACCTCAAAACAGGGAGGCCGTTTCGTTGGGAGATCTGCATGTGATCTGAATGGAACTGGATCCCTCTTTGCTTGCCGAGGATTTATTAGATGGGTCCCTGGAATGCACTTGCCTTTCCCACACGCTGAATGCCAGCTCCTCTCAAAGAACGGGGCTCAACCGGTTCTCCAAATAGGTTCTCTATTCTCCAAAGCGCCTGAAGGCAGAACATGACACAACCGATGGAAAGTAATCAAGGAGAGAAGCAACCTGGAAGTAAGGAAGAATTTCCTGACAGTGAGAAGAATTAACCAGTGGAACCACCTGCCTCCAGAAGCTGTGGATGCTCCATCACTGGAAGTTTTTAAGAAGAGACTGGGCAGCCATTTGTCTGTAATGGTATAGGGTTTCCTGTCTGAGCAGGCAGTTGGACTAGATGACCTTCAAGGTCCCTTCCAGCTTGATTCTGAATTGAATTGAATTGGATATATCTAGTCTGGTGAAAAGTAGGACGAGGGGTGACATGAGAGCAGCCTTCCAGTATCTCAGGGGCTGCCCCAAGAAGAGGGAGTCAAGCTATTCTCCAAAGCATCTGAAGGCAGGACAAGAAGCAACGGATGGAAACTCATCAAGGAGAGAAGCAACCTAGAACTAAGGAGAAACTTCCCGACAGATAGAACAATTAACCAGTGGAACTACCTGCCTCCAGAAGCTGTGAATGTTCCAACACTGGACGTTTTTAAGAAGAGACTGGACAGCCATTTGTCCGAAATGGTCTAGGGTCTCCTGCTTCAGCAGGGGGTTGGGCTAGATGACCTCCAAGGTCCCTTCCAACTCAGTTATTCCGTAGTTCTGCTAAGCACACTGCTCCTTCCTCTCTCGGTTTCTCCTTCGGCGACTGAGCAAGCCCATTGCAGCTACGTCTCTGTGTCCCTCCTCTGGTTGGAAATAGAGAGCGGGGGGGGGGAGAGGGCAAGGTTCGAAACGGCCCCCATTGCCTTTTCCAAGTTAGAAACCCTGCGCCGCCAGGCATGAGGAAGCCCAAGAGCATCCATGTGGAAGAAGAAAAGATCGGCTGAATAGTGATTTGCAAGGCTTCTTTCAAGTCCTCCATCAATTATCATTATCTCATGTCTGCACAGCACATGGCTTCCGGTGTTTTGCGCACAACGAGAGCCAGACGATGGGTCCTTTCTGCCGGGGAGGCAGGGAGACCACCTCTGCGCACCAAGACTAATTTCCAGTTGTGTACCCAGATTAAAATTTGCACAACAGAAGAAACGTTCGCTGCTTCCTAATGGTCGGGCTTCTGGATTCACTTAGTAAGCACGAGGGATGAAGCTGCTTTAAAGGGAGGGCGGAGAGTAGCAACGAGGGGAGACCGTTTAGGAGCCCACTGGGCAGAATCTGTCCCTTCTCCGTTGGCAGCTGAAGTTCCTTGTGGACAGAACAGCCGTCTGAAAGATTTAAAAGGGAATTTTCATCGAAGAGAAACATTCTCCCCAACTCCAAAGAGCCTCTGATTCAAGGCCTCCTTTTTAAGAATGTTCTTAAATGGAATGGAATGGAATAGAATTACAGAATAGAATAGAATTACAGAATAGAGTAGAATAAAAGAGAACAGAATAGAATAGAAATATAGAGTAGAATAGAAAAATGGAGTAGAGTAGAGTAGAATAGAGCTGGAAGGGACCTTGGAGGTCTTCTAGTCCAGCCCCCTGCTCAAGCAGGAGGACCTATACTATCTCAGACAAGTGACTATCTAGTCTCTTCTTTAAAATCTCCAGTGATGGAGTGCCCACGTTTTCTGGAGGCAAGCTGTTCCACTGGTTAATTGTCCTCCCTGTTAGGAAGTTTCTCCTTAATTCCAGGTTGTTTCTCTCCTTGATCAGTTTCCAACCATTGTTTCTCGTCCTCCCCTCTTGTGCTTTGGTAAATAAGGTGACCCCCTCTTCTTTGGGGCAGCCCCTCAAATGCTGTAATACTGCTATCATGGCTCCCCTCTTCTTTTCTTTAGACTAGCCAAACCTACGTCCCGCAGCCGTTCTTTGTATGTTTTAGCCTCCAGGCCTTGGATCATCTTAGTTGCTCTTCTCTGAATTTTTTCCAAACTCTCAACATCTTTTTTGTGATGTGATGACCAAAATTGGCTGTAGTATTCCAGGTGTGGCCTCACTAGGGCTTTGTAAAGTGGTGCTAATACCTTGCCTGATCTTGATTATATGCCTCTGTTTATGCAACACAGGATTGGGTTAGCTTTTAAGTTGAGGACGACCTGTAATGGAAGTAGAAGTTTGATCTTTGCCTTAGATTAGATTCTAGATTAATTGCCAGATGTTCATCTACAATTTGAAAACGCCAATTGGCTTGATTAAATGGATCCAGCATGGTAGCTAATATTTCAGATTTTCATTATTCTTGACCGCTCATTGAGTGGATTGTGCATATTTTAGCAAAAGGAAAGTGTGTGTGTGTGTGTGTGTGTGTGTGTCCATTCATGTACTCACTATTGAATTGTGTTTTGCAGGCAACAATCGGCATTGACTTCTTATCGAAAACTATGTACCTGGAAGATCGCACAGTGAGTAAGAATTTTGCAGTAACTAGCCTGTTTTTAACATTGATGGTGCATTGTGTTGCCTAAATCAGGGTTTCCCAACCTTGCAAACTTTTTAAGATGCATGCTGGCTAGGGAATTCTGGGAGTTGCAGTCCACATGCCTTAACATTGCCAAGGTGCATGGACTTCAACTCCTTGCCATCCTTAGTTTTTATAAAAGGTACCTATTTAAGACTTTTAGCCCTTTGCTTTAAGCCAGGGGTCTTCAAACATGGCCCTTTGATGATTTGTGGACTTCAACTCCCAGAATTCCTCAGCCAGCATGCCTGGCTGAGGAATTCTGGGAGTTGAAGTCCACAAGTCATCAAAGGGCCAAGTTTGAAGACCCCTGCCCAAATGTAATCGTTTCAAACTGCATATGAAGGTAGAAACCTAAATCTCATGAGGGTAAGTTGGATGGAATTGTCTATATATGAAAAAGAGGTTAACTTGAACTGGCCGGCAAACAGCGCCATGTGTTTTTTGATGCCAACCTCCCTACCCATCGTTCATTGGTTCCGGGAGGCGCAAGGGTTAGGGTTCTGGGAGTTGAAGTCCACGAGTCTTGAAGGGGCCATAGTTCCCCCATGCTGGCTCAGGAATTCTGGGTATAGGGCAGTGGTGGCGAACCTAGGGCACGGGTGCCAGAGGTGGCACTCAGAGCCCTCTCTGTGGGCACGCACACCATCGCCCCAGTCCTAGGCCTTCAGCTGGGTTTTATAAAACCTTTTCGCTTTAGGCCTCCGCCGCCGTGTGCAAAAAAAAAAAAAGTTCAATCAATCAGTCAATTTCAACTTCTCGTGGGGGGGGAAAAAAGATCTCGCAAAGTTGGAATTGATTGATTGAACTTTTTAGTCCCGCCCAGTCTGCCGTTACCACGGCAGTCACGCCCACCCAGTGGGCCACACCCACCCAATGGGCCACGCCCACCCGGCACCCGACGATACCTAAGTGGATTTTGGGTTGCGGTTTGGGCAGTCAGTCTCTAAAAGGATCGCCATCACTGGTCTAGGGTTTCCTGCCTGAGCAGGGGGTTGGACTAGATGACCTCCCAGGTCCCTTCCAACTTTATTAATATTATTATTATAACTCTGTGCTTCTGTCACTCTGCTTTGCTTGCATGCTGCCCTAAGAGACGCCCGAGGCCGCCTGCCAAATCTTGAAAGTTAGCTGAGTTTCCCTTGTTTTCCCCCCAAAAAAGGCTCCTGGACTCACCCAGGGCCCCTGAGTAAATTCTTGTGGCCTGCTTTTGCTTGCTCCCTCAAAGTTAACACCTTCCATGCACGATGGTTGTTTTTTTATATTATTATTATTATTATTATTATTATTATTATTATTATTATTATTATTATTATTATTATTATTATTATTATTATTATTATTATTTTAAAAAGCTTTGCTTTTTTATTTATTTTTTAAAACAGCTGAAAATTTTGTTCACTGGAGCGGTGGTTTGGCTTTTTTTTTTCTTTTTTTCTTTTTCTTTGTAAATTTTCCTCCCGTCCCACAGATCAGGTTGCAGCTCTGGGACACTGCGGGCCAGGAACGTTTCCGTAGCCTCATTCCCAGTTACATCCGCGACTCTGCCGCCGCTGTAGTAGTATACGATATTACAAGTAGGTACTTTTTTTTTTAGCTCTGGCTTTTGACTTGTGTTTTTTTTTTTCTTCTTCCCTTCTTGCTTGTTTTGATTGATTCCCGTTAGGTACGGTTGCAATTGTGGGACACGGCAGGCCAGGAGCGGTTCAGGAGCTTGATTCCTAGCTACATTCGTGACTCCACTGTTGCCGTTGTTGTGTATGATATCACAAGTGAGTGGGGGGGGGCATTTCCAGTATTCTTGGCGCATGCGCTCCCTCCCTCCCCTCCTTTTCCCTTCCTTCCTTCCTCTCTCAGTCCCTCCCTCCTTTTTCCTTCCTTCCTTCCTTCCTTCCTTCCTTCCTTCCTTCCTTTCCTTTCCCACCTTTTCCCCTTTTCTTTCTTCCTTTCCTTTCCTTTCCTTTCCTTTCCTTTCCTTTCCTTTCCTTTCTTCCTTTCTTTTCTTTTCCTTTCCTTTCCCATCCTTTCTCCCTTCCTTTCCTTTCCCATCCTTTCCCCTTTCCCTTCCTTTCCTTTTTTTCTTCTTTTCCTTTCCTTTCCTTTCCTTTTTTCCCATTCCTTTCCCTTCCTTTCCTTTCCTTTCCTTTCCCATCCTTTCCCCTTTCCCTTCCTTTTCTTTCTTCCTTTTCTTTCTTCCTTTCTTTTCCTTTCCTTGCTTCCTTTCCCCTTTCCTTTCCTTTCCTTTCCTTTTTTCCCCATCCCCTTCCTTTCCTTTCCTTTCCCATCCTTTCCTTTCCTTTCCCATCCTTTCCCCTTTCCCTTCCTTTTCTTTCTTCCTTTCCTTTCTTCCTTTCTTTTCCTTTCCTATCCTTTCCTTTCCTTTACTTGCTTCCTTTCCTTTCCCCTTTCCCTTCCCTTCCCATCCTTTCCCCTTTCCTTTCGTTTCCTTTCCTTTTCTTTCTTCGTTTCCTTTCCTTTCCCATCCTTTCCCCTTTCCTTTCCTCCCTCTCCCCTTCCCTCAAGGCAAGCTGTGCATGCTATACCACAGTTGTGCTTGTCCCTCACTGTGGCATGAAAATGGTTTTCTTGCCTGGAGACTTCAAGCAGGAGACTCTCTACCGTGTTTCCAAATGGATGGGACCCTTTCTAGGGGCTTCCTCTCCGGGGCTCCACCCTAGAGACGGCCAGGTCCTGCCCCCTGTAATCTTACAAGACCACAAGGATGGCTTTGAACATGTGCAGGAGGCTTTTTCCTCCCCCGTGGATTAGGCCAAATTAATTTGCCTGGTAAGGATTCGAAAGCGGACTCCGGCTCGAACGCTGGGCTTTTTGGGAAGACGGCTCCGGCTTTTCTCCAACTCTTTTTAAATTTTAAACATTCTGTCCCTCTCCTGAGTTTTTGCCCAAAGGTTGCTGACTCCAAGAGGCAAATCCTCTCCGTTTTGGTTGGTTCTGCTTCTCTCCCTCTTCTCTCTCCTCCATTCCTTCTCTCCCTCTGTGCGTGCTCAGATTTTCGGAAAGCAGGCCGGTCTCGGTCTCATCACGGTCTCAATTCATCTGCTGGTTCTGTGGGGTGTTATTGTCCTGTGTTGTTGCCTTTTTAAGTTCCTCGAGTTTCTCTATTGAAATCCTTTCTTGTTGTTTTTTGCATCGCTCCCAAAATCTCCAGGGATTGTAACATCCTGTTCTCATGTACACAAAAACCCTTCTTTTTTTTCTCCCTCCCCTTCCTTCTAATTAATTTCACTGTTAAGTTTCCTGTAAAGCAGTGTTTCTCAACCTTGACAATTTTAAGGCATGTGGACTTCAACTCCCAGAATTCCAATGCTGGCTGTGGAATTCTGGGAGTTAAAGTCCACATGCCTTAAAATTATCAAGGTTGAGAAACACTGCTGTAAAGGTATGTGCTTTCCAAAGAACTGCATTTAGATTCTTCCATCTCCATTTGAAAAACACACACACACAGACACACACACACAACTAATAACCGTTTTAAAAACCTTATCACAAGTACGCTAAGCAACTCCTGTTTTCGTTCGTTTTTCAAATCTGCCTTTGAAATAGACAAACCGAACGAAGAGGAATTTATTAATTTAATTATTTATTTATTAATTTAATTTGTACCCCGCCCTTCTCCTCATGGGACTCAGGGCGGCTAACAGCCTCATAAAAACCACAATACAAATACAATGATATCTATATTAAAAACCGAATTAAAAGGAAATATTTAAGAAGGCCGATCATTAAAATTATCCTTAAAAAACCCTTAAAAAACCCCGCTAAAAATTGATGTTGAAACGCGCGAAGGGGAAAAATTGAGATCTTTTTTTTAATATATATATATATATATATAAAATCTAGGCTTAGCTGGAATGGAAAGCTTTTGGGGTTTTAATGACTCCACTTCTTTCCAAGCACTTCTTTCCAAGCATGGAAAAAAAAATAACTATTAATGGACTGCAGATGATACCATTTCAAGGTAGAAATGTTTGTTCTTTTCTTTCTGCTTTTATAGTCTGGTCATATCACAATCTAGGCGATGGTTCTAACCAGGCTGGTCACTTGCTCTCCAGTAACACTGATTTAACACCAGAAGCACCCAGATTTCAAAAGCACACTTTTTGAACAGGCAGTTTCTCCATAAATACCTATTAGATGACTTCTTGCTTGCAATTTCTAGCGCTATGTCACCATATAAATGAAAGAGGGTTTGGGGTCTGGAGGCTAAACCATATAATGAACGATTGAGGGAACTGGGACCAGGCCATGAAAGAGAAGGACCTGGAGTGACATGATAACTGTCTTCCACTGAATAGAGTAGAGTAGAGTAGAGTAGAGTAGAATAGAATAGAATAGAATAGAATAGAATAGAATAGAATAGAATAGGAAATATAGAATAGAATAGAAGACTAGAATAGAATAGAAATATAGAATAGAATAGGAAAAATAGAATAGAATAGGAAAAATAGAATAGAATAGAAAAGAAATATAGAATAGAATAGGAAATATAGAATAGAATAGAATAGAATAGAATAGAATAGAATAGAATGTAGAATAGAATGTAGAATAGAATAGAATAGAATAGAATAGAATAGAATAGAATGTAGAATACAATAGAAATACAGAATAGGGCAGGACAGGACAGGACCTTGGAAGTCTTCTAGTCCAGCCCCCTACTCAAGCAGGAGAACCTATAGTATACCATCTCAGACAGATGAATCTCTAGTTTCTTCTTAAAAATTTCCAGTGATGGAGCGCCCACGATTTCTGGAGGCAGGTGGTTCCCCTGGTTAATTGTCCTCACTGTCAGGAAGTTTCTCCTTAATTCCAGGTTGCTTCTCTCCTTGATCAGTTTCCATCCATTGCTTCTCATCCTGCCCTCTGGTGCTTTGGAGAATAGCTTGACTCCCTCTTCTTTGTGACAGCCCCTCAGATACTGGAAGACTGCTATCATGTCTCCCCTATTCCTTCTTTTCTATAGACTAGCCAAAGCCCAAGTCCTGCAGCCGTTCTTCGTATATTTTAGTCTCCACGCCTTGGATCATCATAGTTGAGGGGCTGTCACAGATAAAGGGGGAAGTGTTTGACTGATTCTCCAAAACTCCTGTGAGTAGGACAAGAAGTAACGGGTCGAAGATCATCAAAGTTCCAACCAAAGAACTAAGGAGAAATTACTCAAGATTAAAACTGATCCTTGACTAATGATCACAACTGGGACAAGAATTTCTGTGGTTAAACAAGGTTGGTTCTTAAGTATGTTCAGTTTTATGACCCTTTTTTTTTTAGCCATGGTTGTTAAGCAAATCACCTCAGTCATTAAAGTGAATTGCGTGGTCGTCGCACGAAGGCAGCTTCCCTCGTTGGAAACTGACTGGGGAGGGGGGATCACATGATCCTGGGATGCTGTAACCATTGTGTAAGTACATGGTGTAAGTACATGCTGTAGCAGCCATGAGTGCAAGGAGTAGACTTTTTTTCGGTGCCATTAAAACCGAATGGTTGCTAAACAAATTGTCGCAAGTTGAGGACTTACCTGTACTTCAGGGGTTGAGAAGGTGCAAATACAGGTAGTTCTCGACTTACAACAGCTCATTTAGCAACCGTCAGAAGTTACAACAGCACGGAAACAAGTGACTTAGGACCATTTTTCACACTTATGCCATTACAGCATCCTCACAGCCATGTGATCCAATGTCAGACGATGGGCAACTGACTCACATTTATGACGGTGGCAGTGTCCCCCCTGGGGTAATGAGATCATCTGCTGAAAAGCAAAGTCAATGGGGGAGGCCCGATTTACTTAACAACCATGTTAGTAACTGTGACAAAGGTCGTAAAATGGGTCAAAATTCACTTAACAGATGACTCGCTTAGCCACAAAAATCTTGGGGCTCAATTGTGGTCGTAAGGCGAGGACTACCTAGTTTAACGAAGAGAAGGACGAGGGGGGACATGATAGCAGCCTTCCAGTATCTCAGGGGCTGCCCCAAAGAAGAGGCAGTCAAGCTATTCTCCAAAGCGCCTGAAGGCAGGAGAAGAAGCAACGGGTGGAAACTCATCAAGGAGAGAAGCAACCTAGAACTAAGGAAGAATATTCTGACAGTCAGAACAATTACCCAGGGGAACTACCTGCCTCCAGAAGCGGTGAATGCTCCAACACTGGAAGTTTTTAAGAAGAGACTGGGCAGCCATTTGTCCGAGATGGTGTAGGGTCTCCTGCTGAGCAGGGGGTTGGACTAGATGACCTCCAAGGTCCCTTCCAACTTTATTATTATTTTTACTATTAAAAAGAAACAGCACAACTTCTGAGAGTATAATTTGCTGTTTTGAAAAGCCGGTTCCTGTGGGCTGTTTTTATGTTCTGAGCCTAAAGCTACAATATGGAAGCATTAATGAGACGGGGAGTAGCACTAATAACCTGGTTACGATGCCAAGAAGGAACATGTGGCTTCCGTGTCGCTATCCGTGTTTATTAAGGCCTGTCGCTTCATACCCATCGAATCAAACACCTTTGCTGGCTCTTAACAAGTTGCTTGCGATACCTTTGGGGAATTTTGTAATAGACGTCCTGTGTGTAGCTGATATTTTTAGACCGATGAGCGCATTTGGAACACTGGAACCATGTTGTGGATGTTGTTATGCTGGTGACACTACCCTAAGAGCGGATAATTGCGAAAGATCTACCAGCTCTAGTAATAAAAGTCCAGGAACACCGTGGGGGGAAAAAAATGGGAGTAAAATGAAATTAAAATAAGATCAAGCTAATATTTGTAAGCCGCCCAGAGTCACTGAGAGTGAGTGGATGGCTGGATAAATCTAGTAAATAGGTAAATAGGTTTTAGTGGGGGTTTTGTATGGGGTACTTTTAGAGCAGGCCTGTTATTTAATTTGATTTTAGAACAGAAACTTGTGTATATTTATCGTGGTTTTTATTATTGCCTGTTCACCGCCCTGAGTCCCGTAAGGGAGATAGGGCGGTATATAAATTCAATTAATAATAATAATAATAATAATAATAATAATAATAATAATAATAATAATAATAATAATAATAATAATAATAATAATAATAATAATAATAATAAAGACAGGTGGTAGAGAGAAAGGCAGCCTGAGAATTGATAATTTTATAAAGCCACTTTATAAAGCCCTAGTAAGACGACACCTGGAATACTGCAACCAATTTTGGTCACCATATCACAAAAAAGACGTTGAGAGTTTGGAAAAAATTCAGAGAAAAGCAACTGAGATGATCCAAGGCCTGGAGGCTAAAACATACGAAGAACGGCTGTGGGACTTGGGTTTGGCTAGTCTAAAGGAAAGAAGAAATAGGGGAGACATGATAGCAGCGTTCCAGTACTTGAGGGGCTGCCACAAGGAAGAGGGGGTCAAAACTATTCGCCAACGCACCAGATGGAAGGACAAGAAACAACGGTTGGAAACTGATCAAGGAGAGAAGCAACCTGGAATTAAGGAGAAACTTCCTGACAGTGAGGACAATCAACCAGTGGAACAGCTTGGCTCCAGAAATGGTGGGCACTCCATCGCTGGAAGTTTTTAAAAAGAGACTGGACAATCACCCGTCTTGAGATGGTATAAGTCCTCCTGCTTGAGTGGGGGGCTGGACTAGAAGACCTCCAAGATCCCCTCCAGCTCTATTCTATCCTGTAATTCTATTCTATTCTATTCTATTCTATTCTATTCTATTCTATTCTATTCTATTCTATTCTACATTCTGTCCTATCCTATCCTGCATTCTATTCTGTTCTGTTCCTCTATTCTATTCTATTCTATTCTATTCTATTCTATTCTATTCTATTCTATTCTATTCTATTCTATTCTATTCTATTCTAATGGAGATATCAAAAGTGGTGGACTGCTCCTGCCTTTAGCACCAACCATCAACAGTAAAGGAACAAGCAGTCAAAGAAAAAATGTCCTGCAAACTAACACTCCCAGCAGTGCAGCCATGGAGAAGATATTCAGATGCCAGGATGTGTCAGAAGAGTTCAAGCTGAGATGTTCTCTATAACCCTCTGCGGAGGACAGAGTTGGACTTTGAAGAAGCAGGAGAAGAAGAGGACTAACGCCTTGGACGGCATTAGAAGGGGCCAATAGTTTCCCTATGCTGGCTCAGGAATTCTGGGAGTTGAAGTCCACAAGTCATGAAGGGACCATAGTTCCCCCATGCTGGCTGAGGAATTCTGGGAGTTGAAGTCCACAAATCATGAAGGGACCATAGTTCCCCCATGCTGGCTGAGGAATTCTGGGAGTTGAAGTCTGCCAGTCATGAAGGGGCCATGGTTTCCCCCATGCTGCCTCAGGAATTCTGGGAGTTGAAGTCCACAAATCATGAAGGGACCATAGTTCCCCCATGCTGGCTGAGGAATTCTGG